GGGCTTGCATGAGTGTACACGTAATCGTCTCAACTTCTGTATATACCTGCTTGCTGCATGCAATCGCTCATACTGGCAGTTATCACGCTGTGACGTGTTGTCGTTTTCCGCAGGACGGGATTGAAAGTGATTCTGGTAACTGCTAGCAACACATGGGGCCTGTTCCTCGTTGTGCTCATGCTTGGCTTTGGATTGGTCGAGGTGCCACGCACGCTGTGGTACAACTCCAAGCGTGGATTCATGCTCAGTCGAACCCAGTTCAAGCTAGCTAAGCTCAGTGTGGAGAAATCGGAGGCAGAGGAAGCATTGGAGGATGTACTAGAGGTGAGAGGTTATGTATAGGCAGGGGTCGAAATTTAAAATTTTTTGTAGAGCAAGGCAAGTATGTTTTTGTGTTTAATCGGCATTTTTAGCGGATACAGAGGCAAGTTCGAGAGGCACCAAGGCAAACGCTTCCTCCAAAGAATGATTAGTGAGGCAACTTGCCTTTTATCGACGCAAAGAGAGATACATACACAATATGAAATATATATGGTATAAGGAGGGTGATCACTGAACTTGGCATCAGTGCCATGGTACAATTCGTTCTCTAGGATAGAAGGGAGGGAAATTGAGAAATTCACTGTGTAAGAACGGTTATTGTAAATATAGTCAATGTTTGTGAGGAATGTGTACAGTCAACCTGAGTCAGGGGTCATCTATATAAAATGGACACCTGTCGAGAAAGGTCGCTGCATTTTCCTTAGGTGGCAGTTATGACATGAAACCATAGCTCTAGTGAGGACAACTGTCTATACAGGACTGGTTGGCATTTCACTTGCCTCTTTCATTCAAGGTTTACTACAGCTAGCTGCATGTGAATTTGATAGTGATTGCCTTCTATTCTATTTACCGTTTGGATTTTAGGATGTAAAGAGGGCGGCTGAGTCTATACGCGATCATCACCCACTGCGACCATACATCGACACTATCCTCACAAAGGTAGTTATTTCCCATATATATATAGTTATTTGTTATCGCCCGTGTAAAAATATTATGCATCATCTCGGTGGCTTGCACGGGTGTTTGTGGTCATGTTAATTTCATTTCAGTATCAGAACCAGTGTTGGAATTAGCAGCCTGTCCCCCCCACTGTTATTCTTGAGCAGGGCAATATAGGTTATATCAGTGGTTCCCAAACTTTTTTCTGTGGGCCGCGCGTTCGGAATAAAAATTTGCTCGCGGCACACCAAATTTTTTATTGATAAGAAATACATTTAAAACCAAAAAAACAACTCCTAGCAGTGCTTGATTCATATCACAGAACACAACTACTTTATAATGTGATCATGATATTATCAGGAATATGATTATGAATATGAACATTTACAATATGATAAATGTTTCTTTAATTGTATTTGAATCTTCCCGCCACACTTGCCATCCTCTCGCGCCGCACCAGTGGGGCGCCCCTTACTGTTTGGGAACCACTGGGTTATATGGTACGAATCAATATTACCAAAATCAGGACTGGCTGGGTTGTCCAAAACTGTTCCAGATTGCAGGTCCCACTGTTTGTAGATATTGACTTTTTTAAATTTTAATGAATTTCGATCAGTACTTTTGTAATAGTTCTTATAATAACGATAAAGTTTTAATTAATGTTTAACGCACCTACGAAAAGGTTTGTAAAACAAAAAACTTTTTGCACCAAAACAGCTTGAGCTCACCACAGTCTTTCCTCACAGGCAGTGATGAAGTTTACTGACAGAGATATGTTCTTATTGGTGCTGTTTACATAGTCTGATATGCATACAGACGTAAAAATGACTGCTAAACATTAAACATTGGTATCTATTCCCCCAATAGATAGGTGTACGCACTTGTAACTTTGTTCCACGAGTGAGTGAGTGCGTGATATCAGGGCAAAACCTGCATGTGTGTCCCCAGCTTTGAATGTGTTTGTGATGCAAAGTATCAGCATTTTTATGTTCTGCGGTATTCACAAGACAAACACAACAGTCGGAGTAGTACTATTACTGTGCACGTTGAGCAGCTAGAATCTATGCTTTCAACAAACAACTTTTTGCTTTCAGTAAACAACTTAGCTTCCGACAGTATTAGACTTTATTCCGGACAGTATTCCGACAGTCCGGAAGTCCGGCAGTAACAGTCCGACAGTAACGTCCAACAGTATTCCGACAGTCCGAAGTCCGGACAGTATTCCGACTTTATTCAGACAGTAAACAACTTTGCTTTCAGTAGACAACTTAGTGGCAAATTAGAAACGATTTAATTTTATCAGGTTCTAAATGCTGAGAACCCGATTAACCATGTCAAAAAACATACCACCATGCTAAGAATAATATAGCAAAAGTTAAATGAAAATCGGCCAATGTTTTATTGCTACCATCAATTATGGTTAGTATATGTTTTCAGTATGTTAGTTATACGTGTATACTTTGGTGCCAGTTCATCTAACTAGATGCAATTCTATAGGCATGTTGTACATACACCCATGACAACAGTAATTATAATGGTTCTTCATATATTATGTAATAACTCTAGTCATATAATTTACCTTGACATATTACAAATCAATAGTACCGGTACAGTACAAATTTATCCAAGTAACCTATATGTGACAGCATAGATGATATTTTCTTGCTTGCTTAGCCCTTTATCTACTAAATTGCTATATACACCTTTGGCATCTGCAGTGTCCTGAGTGGTGGGATGGAATAGGCATCATTGGAAGTGCCACCAAGGTGGTAAGAAACTACGGTAGCTTGTCGGTAAATAGCAGTCCGCTGTATCAGGGAAATATCTATGACAAATCTAGAATTAGCAGATAAATAAATTCCTGGTTGTGTTCTTCTATTAACATTCACACTAACACCCAGTTGGGCTTTAATGTTTGTGGGACGTATTACAACCTAACCTTGCACGGTCAGCACAGATTGCAATTGTATAGCCTTTGGCATATTATATTTACACAGCTTATATTTATCATACACACTGGTTGGTGTACTATAGTGGTAGGATTACGTCTCTCTATCTATAGGTCACTTGAAGGTGGTTTATGTTCATGCATATGTCTGTTTGCCTAAGACCTGTAGATGTGCTAAAATATTCTTGCTGGTTTTCTGCTATCACTTCACAGTAAAAAAGTGGTGAAAAGAAAGAAAGATAGTGATCAATATATCCTTGTTAGTCACATGCAATCTATTGCTGTTATAACCTAGATGTGTATCAAGAGTACATAATAGGAGATGGATGATAGGATTTCCTATTATATACTCCTGATGTGTATAGATAGATTGGGCCTGTTTTTGTGTTAAACATATGTAAATGTAACCTATATTAAGTAATGTTATTGTGTGTACACCTGTAACGTTATATGGTTTAAGATTTTGTAATGTCTTGCTTTCTGGTGCTTATACTACTAGTAGTTATAAAAGAACTATAAACATTCTAGAAAAATTCTTGCACATGTATTCGTAGCCATTTTCGCTATTAAATTTCCACCAAGTGAAATCTTCTATCGAACCAGCTTTACATATCACGACCGATACGCATAACATGTAAAATTATTGTGCTACGTGCGTGCGTGCGAGTGTAATATAACTAGCGTGATACGTACAGTGGTGCGTGCGGCCAGGCGTGTGTGTAATATAAAGCTCGCTTCAACGTTACAGCTGTTGTCATTGATGACTCGTGTTGGACATTACAGTTGGTTGTTGTCGTGCGTGCGTCGCGTGCCGTGCGTTGCGTGCGTGCGTTGAGTGCGTGCAGTGCGTGCGTGACATGCCTACGTGCGACTGTTGTGTGTGTCTATATATAACCGCTTGACATCGTGACACTTGAACCAGTGTATTGCGTGCATGTGTGTCTCCCGTTGCGCTGTTTGTGCCTGCCAATGCGTGCGTTCGTGGTCTATACTAAGACCGTAGTGTGACGTTACAGTGTTTGCATGATTCTCGTGTGACACTTACAGTGGTGTTTGGTGGTTAGGCGTCGTGCGTGCGTGCTGTTGCGTGCGTGCGTGCGTGTGTGTGGTATAATATAACGCTCGGTGTGAACGTTACGTGCGTGCGTGCTGTGCGTGGACGTGTGTCTGATAATATAAGCGCTCGTTTGGCGCACAGTTACAGTGCGTCATTGCGTGCGTGGTGCGTGCCGTGCGCGCGCCGACCGCCCCGCTCACCCTACCACCGTGCGTGGCGTGCGTGTGTATAATCATACATGCTCGTTGTAACGTGTACAGTGCGTGCCGTGCGTGCGTCGCTTGCGTGCGTCGTCGTGGGGCGTGCGTGCGTGCGTGTGCCCCGTGCGTCGGTGCGTGTGTCTGAATAATATAACGCTCCGTTGTGAATGACAGTGCGTGCGTGCGTGCCGTGCGTGAGATGTGTGCCCGTGCGTGTGTCGTGTATAATATAACGCTCCGTGTGACGTTACAGTGCCCTGCGTGACCGCATCGTGCGTTGGCGATGGTAGCGTGCGTCGCTTGTATAATATAACGCTCGTGTGACGTTACAGTGCGTGCGTGCGTGCGTGCGTGCGTGCGTGTGTATAATATAAAGCTCTCGTGACATTACAGTGCCCGGAGAACATGCGCAGGAGTGTGCAGAAGGTGGAGAATGCGCCTAACGACGGCACGATCCGGCCGATCGAGACGCCGACGGAGAAATCGCTGGCCAGGCTGAACAAGAAGGTGATCACGGCTGTGAGGAACCACCACAGGACCCAGGTGCAGTGGAGCATTCTAGTTGATCAGGTGCGTTGCTCTCACAGGAGCGGTGAATCGGTTAACGTAGAGCAGAGGTCTTGACAGAGTCAGGAGAGCAGTCTTGAATTGGTCAGGGCAGCAGGAGTATTGAATTTGTGAAGGTTTAAAGTCAGTACAGGAGATGTATTGAAATAGTTGTACCAGTACATGACCTGAACTTGTTAGGGCAGCAGAAATCTTTAATTAATTAGGATAGCAGTAGTCATGATTCATAAATCACTCAGGGTGGCAGCAGAAGTACAGAATTCATTAGTGCAGCAGAGCTGTTGAATTTGTTATACGAGCAGACTTGAATTCGTTAAGACGGCAGATGTTCTGAATTGGTTAGGCCAAAAGGTGTTATGAATTTCATTAATAAAATTATTAATGAAAATTTATTTTATTGACTGTCATTAATTGCATCTGTTTTTGTGTAGGCGATTGGTTTGGAAGATATGGAGAAGAATGAGGGGAACAGCGAGCATATGTTTAAGCACACCTTCATGCCGGAACGCAATGCATTCATGAGGGCTGTGTACACACCAAGCATTGGCAAGTGTTTCTTCAGTGTTTCTTCTCTAGCCACACCCATAAGTGCCCGGCTGTAAAGTTTTTCCTTGCACCAATGGCCAAAACAGCTGTGTGTCGTACAGTATGACATTATATACAAAATATTATATATCAATTTATATATAAATACGAATTATATACAAAAACGAAATTACATCTGCGCCCTGATCTTGCTCGTGAATTCTTATGTGGGGTGCTTTTTATAAATGAGATGTGGCTTCACGACGTTAGACTATGAGTAACTTATGCGTGCTGTCACGAAAAGTGAAAAGGATAATTTGCAGAACAAATTAGCGTTATGAAACATCAGATTGCGTGACCTCATCTTGCACAAGAAAAATTGATCACCCCTGTCCCAAATGGGTTGTTCTATTCCATCCTACCCTTGAAGGTGCAGTCAAGGTTACTCCTTTTGTGTACATATGACTATCAGTGTTGCAACTTTTTTTCCCAAAGGAAACGCTGCCTGGCACGTCTTTAATGAAATTTCATGAAATTTCATGTTGTCACCTGCGTTGTCACCCGTGTTGTCACACGTGTTGTCACCCGCGTTGTCTCACGTGTTGTCACCCGCGTTGTCACCCGTGTTGTCTCACGCATTGTCACCTACGCTGTCACCCGTGTTGTCACACGCATTGTCACCTACGCTGTCACCCGTGTTGTCACACGCGTTGTCACCCGTGTTGTAACACGTGTTGTGACGTGAGCTTATCGTTGCCTCGTTACGTTGCAGAGTGGTACTGGAAGTGTCTGGTGAAGCCATGGGTCCTCAGAGTGCTGGCGGTCGCCCTGGCTCTCTTCTCTGCGGTTGTTGTCTGGTCGGAGGTGACCTTCTTCAACAAAGATCCCGTGCTGTCTCTGTTTGCACAGTTCATCCATCTTGCGGCAAGGCATTACAATTACTTTCAGATTGAGGTGAGGAAGTGAAATGCACATAAAAGGCTTATAACACATTCTGGTATTGAATTGGGGCAGAATGAATACTTATGCTGAACATCGATCACACTATATCAGTTATGTCTAAACAGTTTTCAGTCACATGATGCTAATAAAACGTTCCTGTGTAATATGATAGCCATACAAGATTTCTGTAGTAAGTTAAACAAGTATGTTGAAGCCCTACTTATCCTAGACCCCGACCTAGTTATGTCATCCACTTAAAATAAAAGACGATCACCTGACCACGTATTTCTATTTCTTTTTCAGGTTATATCGTGTCTGACCATTGCATTCCTGAGCACGTGCACGTACTATACCGTGTTTAAGGTGCGCGTGTTGAACTACTATTACCTGGCACCCTTCCATCAAACTGACGAGTACAGCTTGCTGTTCAGTGGCATGTGAGTATCGGGTACACAATGTGTGGAAATGCCTACGCAGCTACCCTAACTACGCTACCTACCATGCCTGTGCTACGTATCTCATAGTGTAGCATGGTGGAACTGCATTCATAGTCATTAAAGCATTATGCCAGGGATGCACACACCAGGGTGGCGGGGGGGGGGGGCTCCCTATATATTACATGGTAGGTATGTGCCGCAGTTATGACCCCCCTTTTCATCTCAAAATATCCGCACCGGAGACCCCCCTTTTCACATATTTCCCGTCACGGTTGTCCAGTTACGGAGCATCATGCTTTCCAACAAACCCTAGTTCCGGAGACCCCCATTTTGATGTGCTGTTAACACCGGAGCCCCCCC